GACAAAATTACTCGCCTATAAAACAATAATTCGACGCAAACTTGAATACGCAAGCGTTGTGTCAAATCCACATCAAAATTATCTAATATCAAACCGATAATCAATTTAAAAAAAAACCACACGGTTCATCCTAAACGGTTATTCTCCATAAAGTAGTGTCTCCCCTAAATTAAAAACTTGGTCTTGCTTTCTTAGCCACACGACACAAACGTAACAGCATGTGTTTCCTCCATCACGTTTACAACATTTATTGTCAAAAAAACCATTATATTTCTCCTCGAAACGACAACACATGTAAACTCCTTCAATGGCGCTCCCATAATAACTCATTCATGTTTTCTCCCTTAATATTGCGTATTACAGAATGGAATAACTTGCCAGATCATTTTGTAACCAACTTAGATATTACACCGTTTCAAGAAATGTGAGGGCTTTTGTTCAATGAGTAGGGAATGTCTCTTTGTGTGTATATATTGTAAGGAAGAAGGAGTGGCACGGACAGACAGGCAGGGGTTTGACCAAGCGCGCGCTCGGCACGGGCGCTTCTGGAATGCTGTACCGCCATTCATACTGGTCGCATTTTCCTCCTATCTTCTATTAAATCTCTTTTATCAACGTCTCAACACTTGGTGGAGGTGCGCTAGCGATCCCCAACCTGATCATCTGGTAATTCCAACCTGGAGCTGCGCAGCGGACGGTCGACTGTCACAACCATGAACGACGATAACGGGAATGTAAGAGACCAGCGCCCCACCAACACTTAAACGGTCAAAACTCGCCAACGTGACCCCCAGGATTTCACCGGTTCAGCCGACGCTGACGTTCTGGACTGGCTCAAAAATTACGACCGGGTGAGCCAACACAACCGTTGGGACGACACCATCAAACTCGCCAACGTCGTATTTTTCCTCAAAGGGACTGCACTCCAATGGTACGACAATCACGAGGAAGAAATTAATTCATGGGATGCGTTCAAAACCGCCTTTGCAGACGTCTTCGGTACACCTGAACGCAGAAGACAACAAGCGCGGGACAAACTCTCCAGGAGGTACCAAGCCCCCTCCGAAACATCGACGTCCTACATCGAGGACGTCCTTCGCCTCTGCGGACGTGTCAACGCAGCTATGCCGGAGGACGAAAAAATCAAGCACCTCTTCAAAGGATTATCCCAAGAGCTGTTTTCCATCGTCGCACCCAGGTCACCTCAGACCGTGCAGCAGCTCATTGCAGAATGCAAGCATTATGAAGACCTTCAAAGTGGTCGGATCTCCAACACCGGATTTGAACGGCTCCCTGAAGTTTCAACTACAACTGCCGACACTGACCTCCCCAATCTCATCAGACGAATAATTCGAGACGAACTGCGCGACTTCTTGGGATCCCTGCGCCTCTCAGCCAGTTCTTCAATCTCGCAACCCGAGGCACCTAAGATTGAACAGGTAATCAAAGACGAACTTCGTGCTGCCCTTCGTCCTATTTCTTCGTCGTCTCCCACGTGCATGGCACCATCGACTTCCTCACCACCCATCTGCTCTTTACAGCACTCAGCACCACACATTTGCGCTCTGCAAACTTCTCACAACGTCTCAATTCCATCCACACGCTACCTATCACCCCGGCGGACAGAGGAATGGCGCACTCAAGATCAACGTCCGATATGCTTCTACTATCACGCCCCAGGTCATATCATCCGCTACTGCTGACGCCGCATGAATGCTGAAGCCTACAGTCGCACCCCACAGAATCAAACTCGACATTCTGACGACCACGACACGCGCCGAAATTTCGACAACCACGGCAGTTCCAATGACCGCCGCAATTATGACGACCATCGCAACACATGTCCCTTTCCAGCTGCTGAATTCCGACGTGGTCGATCACCCTCCCCCTATCCTCGACGAAACCGCTCCGTCTCGCCGTTCACTGACGCTACTACCGGACTTCCGTCGTCAAACTAAGCAGCGCAGCCTGTCTTAACAATGGAGGTCAGGCTGCACTACCGTCTCCGGTCCTAAATCCTCCTTACCTTGGCCCTACAACTATTACCGTCTACATTGGAGAAGAAAAGCTTTTAGCATTAGTTGACACAGGTGCTGCAAAATCCTGCATTTCTGATCAGCTTCGCCGCCGTTTACACAAAGTGCTCACCCCTCCACCCGCTGGACATTTTCTACGGATGGGAAACAGTGAACTTGTGCAACCTCTTGGCTACTGCACTATCCCTATTAAACGGCACGGAGCGTCCGCCTCGGCTACGGGAGGTGGTCGGTTCGAAGCCCACCGTCGGACACCCACCGGCTAAATGGGTACAAACGTCCCCCAACCCCGGCGCTCGGGTTTCCATCAGGGGATGACGTTTGGGAGAGGTTCCGCAAACCCCGCTAAGCCTATCTGCGAACACTTAACCGCAACCGGTCAGGTTGCGGCGGTATGCCGCCTTCGGGTGGCGTTGTTGCACTCGTGCAGACTCTCGTCCTTGGGAAACCAGGTCCAAGTGTTGAGACGTTGATAAAAGAGATTTAATAGAAGATAGGAGGAAAATGCGACCAGTATGAATGGCGGTACAGCATTCCAGAAGCGCCCGTGCCGAGCGCGCGCTTGGTCAAACCCCTGCCTGTCTGTCCGTGCCACTTCTTCTTCCTTACAATATATATCTTGTTTTCTTTCGTAGTTAGACGAAATGTGGCTGTGTTGGTGTCCTTACGTTCTTTTAGAGCGCAGCTCTTAGGGGCCCGCTCCCGGCTTGGGCGGCGTCGCCGTCGCCGTCGCCGTCGCCGTAACCAAGGTCATCCCAAGGTCACGTGACCCCTCCAGGTCACGTGACCCCTCCCAAGGTCATCTCAAGGTCACGTGACCCCTCGAGGTCACGTGACCCCTCCCAAGGTCATCTCAAGGTCACGTGACCCCAAGACCCCACGTGACCCTTTGAAGGTCACGTGACCCCCAAGTCACGTGACCCCCGAGGTCACTTGGTCTCCTCCCCAAGGTCACGTGACCCCCAAGGTCACGTGACCCCTCCCAAGGTCATCTCAAGGTCACGTGACCCCAAGGTGACCCCCACGTGACCCCCAGGTCACGTGACCCCTCTGAGGCCACGTGACCCCCCCGAGGTCACGTGACCCCCCTCCCCGAAGTCACGTGACACCCCCCCCCCAAGGTCACGTGACCGCCCCCCCGGAGCATATTAAAGAATGAGGGGAGGAGGAGGGGTCTACCCTCCCTTCAGTACCCTTCACTCCTCCTCCTCAAGAGCTGCGCTCCAATTCGGCGTTACAGGGATTTGTAAACGGCTTTCACTTTTTTTATATTGTATTCACATTTAATGCCACCCCCCTCTTGTCATGCGTCCTTAAAAGACGCCCTTGAGGTAAATAAATGAAATGAAATATAAAGACAAAGACAATCGCAACATTCTAGAACCATGTATAATATATTAATTATAGTATATATTTATTTAGTTATTGAATTCAACAAGCGGTCAACGAAGCACCAAGTCGATATAATAAAATACATAATATTTCGGGACAATGAAAGCCTTTTTTATATTTTCCAATTTTTAAAACATCCTATAATATTTCTTGTTATTTGGCGGATTAAGTCCGCACCCCTTTACTCCTACTGTGGAGCTCCAAGTTTCATCTTACGGGCGCAGCAACTAAACGAATCGCAGCGCACATGTTTGCGACACACCGAAACTATCGACGAGCTGCGTGAACCACTTCCAACTGCACGGCTTTGACGAACCCAACATCTCATGGATACGGGTGGCAGAAGGCGAAATTATTTTTAAGCTATATTAATTAGGGCTGAGTGGAGCGGCAGAGTGTAAAGTAAAAGAGACGGTGATGTTACGAAGTTTTCGAATGTATCAATATTTCTGAAAAGCTTGAGGACTCCGCTCACATCTGCGGAATGTTACTTTTACCGATCTTTTTAATGACCATGCATTCTGTTCAAATTTAAATTAAAGACAACATTTTGTTAGCTCTTTCGCCGTCACAGGAAACTGTCGAACTTGCCAGATGCCGTACGAGACGGACCCGTCATTTCGCTATATACCGGCACACCATCGTTCAATAGACAGCACGTCAATTCGCTTTTAGGCAAGATGCATGAAAAACCCTGTTCCGCAACGCTAACCGATGTTTCGACTTTCAAGTTAAGTTTCTTTATTTGCTGGGCTAATCATTCTAGAAGGGGCTGCGGTACGACAGTATCCTGATCTGAACAACATGATCCTTGTTGTTGTATGGGCACGCTACCAATCTATAGATGAATTCGTTTTCAGGCGAGATGCACGAATAAAGTCTCCCGGAACGCTACTTCCTTTTGGCTTTCTAATCAAACTGTGTTTACCTGATTAAACACTATTCAACTGAAAATGGGCAGCGGTCCTACTGTTTCTTTTATTTCGGTATCAAACGATAGTGCTTTCTTTTCGGTAATAGTGAACGAAATGAATTCGATCCTAAAGGGTTTTTGGTTTGGGCTACGGTTTTAGCCTCTGTACTTGACTGCCGCGTAGCAGAGAGAACGAGAAACAAGTTTACCGACAATTTATGAACCTGGTGACTGTCACCGCCGAGTCATTTTAATATGACAACGCCTATAGAAGTCCTCTCAACGAAAGCACAATAAGTCGGGGAGCAGATAAATTAGTTGAATGACGCCATGTTATGCGTACTTTCATTCGCTTGAAGCAGGATGTCGATCGCCCTATTTTAACGCACCGGAATTTTAATATTAGCTATTGTTGCGTAAGCGCCAACTGTGCTAATTTAAACCAAGTGTTTCCTGGAAAACATCGGACTTATTCACCACTAAAGACATTGATAGAAGTGACCATAATGTCCCACATGGAAATTTTACAGTATACTTAAGGGCAGAATTTTTATATTCCTTATCGAGCTTCCAAAACAGTGCTCTTCAAAGAAATCACCCACAACTCGCATAAAAGAAATACATCTTAGAGTTCAATTATATTAATAATTTATTATTTCCTAGAAGTGCTTCGCAAGACCGTAGGCGAGAGGAGCATGGTGGGCGTAGGCGAAGGGAGCAGCGTGCACCACCGGGGCGGCGTGCACTGCGCGCACGGCAACTGGAGCAGCGTGCACAGCGTGAACGGCGGCCACTGGTGCAGCCTTCACAACGACCGGGTGGGGACCCTCGACGGCGGTGGAGAAGAATGGAGCGTCGGCTGGAGCTGAGGTCTTGGTTCCTGGCTCGTTGGTCTCCACGGTGGGGTGGAAGCCGGTGGCGTCAGCCACGTACTTCACCACACGACTGACTCCGAGGGCATCGACATAGCTGTATGAGCCGACCTTGTTGTTGAACTCGTCTCCGGTCTCCTGACGGGTCATGCGTGTGCCGAACTCGTCGACGTTGTCGAAGCCGAAACTGTATGGCTGGGGAAGGTGCTACAATAAAAAAAAATAATATACACTTTCATCAGCAGAGTTATGCAGAAAACAAAAGCCTGTTTATCTATACGAGACAATAGATTTTCCTTGCATTTGCCTTTATCTAAATGCGTAAATGTTTTGCTGAAACAAAGGTTTGCAGTTCGAACTCGTCGGATGTTTTTCCCTCTCCATCTCCAGTAGAACAAAACAATAAAGTTGAAGATGAATTGGAAGTAACTAAGGTCATAAAGATCTGGAATGGTTCCAGATTTTTTTTTTATGTAACCGTGCGTGACAGTTTAAAATGAATATTCATACATTCTGAGAAATATCAATACGGTACTTCCGATGTTACCATTTAAAAGGCGGTGTTGGCACCTGATTACCTAGATATGTTTACTATGGTCAAAATGAAGGTTCTCAAACAATCTACCTTTGTCCGAATGGACGTTCTAAATAACCTCACATGATATCTTGTGCTCTAAGGTTTCGCATAAAATCTTAGGTCTTTCAAGATTTCTACAATTTCTCACTTTACTGACCTGCTCCACAACAACTCCGCAAGCCACGTAGGCGAAGAGGCAGCACACAAGGACCTGGAAGCAAGCAGAACGTTGTTATTCCGGTCAAAACGAAGACAAATCGATTTTTTAAAATCTCGATACCCAAGTCAGCGACTGGCGTCAATAGGCTTGCCTACCTTGGTGAACATGATGATTACTTTTCCTCTTGCTTGAGAGTGGAAACGATGGTGCAGTGCAGGACAGCAAAGCCTTATATACCCGGTACAAAAATAATTTAACTTTAGACACGCCCTGCAAAGCTATCCAGTCAATAGCATAAGTGAATCGACGAAGTAAAAAAAAACAGAAGCTGCGTTGATTAAATTGCAGTGCGGTGAACTCGGAAAGACGGGAGAGAAAAGGAATGCGGTCAGGAAGGGCTTATTTTTTTATTTTTTGTTGTAGCTGTTCTTATGCATGTATGATTTGAAATGCCGTTATGGAGTAGGATGCTTTTGCGCGTGAGAAGGATAAATGCTGAAATCAGGATAATGCTTGTATTTTGAATATTAGGTTGGTCGAATTCTACATTGTTCAGGTAGGAGAGGAAAGCCACGCTTAGGGTCGGAAAAATTCCCTACGTTCAAGACAAATAAAAATGATTCAAGATTACAATCATGCTTATATTCATCGCATCACAAATTCAGCTTCTGCGAAGGTATTGGTATAAAAAATGTAGTCCGACTTTTATTTTGTTTTTTGTTCACTTCTTCAAAGGTGTGAAGATCGCGATTACTTAGAAAGCCCGACATAGATTGCATTATGGTATTTCATTACATTGATCAAGTTTTGAAGAATTAAGAATTGAGTCAAAGGTCTACGATATCTGGTTAATAATTTCAAATACTTAACCTCATTTTATTTCATTACTTAATACGTTATATTTCTTACAAATGAAAAAAAAACGACTTAACACTTATTCCTTTAGACAGTACTTAATATTTTTCGCAGATTACAAACAAGGCATTAGCCTGATTTTTATCTAATGAGTTGTGACACATTTTAATGTACATCCCTCATATTTTTTAACTTTATCGCTTGAACCCCGGCCTGCCGGTTGGATAGCGCCTTATCGTGGCTTGAAGCAGCAGGTCACCGAGGCTAGGTGTGTGCCTGCTGTCACACTCGTGTACACTCGCTGAGCTGCTCTTTAACGCCGGAATAAGGCGCAGATCTGGCAGCCGGTCGAAGTTCAAACGACATTGCTAAAATCTGAAGACTACATGTGTTCTACTTTATTGGCATTCTTGAAAATGATTTGGGATTATATTAAATTATCTCCTGATTATTTTAAATGATCCGCATCACAACCGATCATAGAGGTTGCAACGGCTGGTTAACAGCACGCTTATTGAAAAACCAAAATGTATGTATTATTAGGTTACAAATATAGGGGGATTTAATGAGGAATTATTAGATACAGGATGGATAGTAGGGGTGACATTCGTCCAGAAACAGTCCGAGCTTTCTGAATGCTCGTCGAGCGCGCGCCACTCTGCGGTACCACTTCTTCTTCCTAAGAATATTCGCCCCGTCGATGCAGGCACCGGTCATCTGGTGCGTTTGAGAGGCTTACGTATCGCGACGATAGTAAGGTTTCATACGGTTATGTGGACCACGTCACATGATCTTGAGCGATGATCAAGGGGCGGGGTAACAGGTGCAACTTCGTAGTTGTTGAAAGAGAGTTGACGGACGACACGGAACGGGCCGACGAATTGCTTGAGGAGTTTTTGAGACTTGCCGGGTACGCGCAAGCGAGTCCACAAGAGAACTTCGCCGCCTATGTCGTAGGTGGTAGGCAGATGACATGCATCGTAACGTAGCTTCTGGTGCTCCTGCGATTCCTGGGTGTGCATGCGGGCGAGTTGGAGAGCGTCCTCTGCTCTGGATGTGATCTCTGCTGCAGACGGCTGAACCAAGGTGCCAGGTGTGTAGGGCAAAATGGTATCAAGAGGTGTGAAGGGTTCGTGGGCATAGAGGAGGTAGTATGGAGAGTAGCCGGCTGTAGACTGCCGTGCCGTACTATATGCATATGTTACGTAGGGAAGAATGATGTCCCAGTTGGTATGATGGTCAGCAACATACATTGAAACCATGTCGACAAGTGTGTGGTTCAAGCGCTCGGTCAGTCTATTTGTTTGGGGATGGTAGGCGCTTGTGACTTTGTGGACTGTAGAAGAAAGCCGAAAGACGTCTTCAAGGACTTGAGAGAGAAAGGGAGTGCCACGATCACTAATTATAAACTGGGGAGCTCCATGACGCAAGATAATGGAGTGCAGAAAAAAATTAGCAACTTCATCGGCGTTGGCAGCGGGTACAGAAGTTGTCTCAGCATAGCGTGTCAAATGATCAACAGCTTCAATGATCCACTTGTTCCCGCTTGTCGACCGTGGAAAAGGACCGAGAAAGTCGATTCCTATACGCTGGAATGGTTGGTATGGTTGCGGAATCGGTTGTAGTCTACCAGAAAGCCTGGTGGTAGGTGTTTTCTTCGTCTGGCAGTCGTGACACGCCCGAACATATTTGTTGATGGTGCGGGTCATGCCCGTCCAGAAGTAACGACTCCGTATGCGGAAGTACTTTTTGGCAAATCCCAGATGTCCGGCTGTTGCGTCGTCATGGTGAGCTTGAATGACATCTCTTTGTAGTTGTCGGGGGATAACCAAAAGCCAAGCTCGTCCGTGGACGTCATAGTTCTGCCTATAGAGGACTCCATTCCTGAGTTGGAATGGAGTGTGGAGGGCGATTTAATGAGGAATGATTAGATACAAGATGGATAGTAGGGGTGACATTCGTCCGGGGACAGTCCGAGCTCGCTGAATGCTCGTCGAGCGCGCGCCACTCTGCGGTACCACTTCTTCCTAACAGTATTGAAAACCCTCCTTTGCCCACAAGGCCAGGAAGCTGCCCGAAAAACCTACAGAAAAAAAAAATTGTTTATGGATGTATTGTGGTCGTTTATAAGAAAGATAGCACGATAGGCACTGGCGATCTATGAACCCTTGTGACAGATATTTAGCTGGTGTATTTGTCTTTATATCTTCCAGTAATTTACGAAATCGATTCCAAAATTTGACGGTAAAAGGGCACGTTTATTTACACTGCAGATTTTGTTTGTGTTTGCCATATTTTCATGGCACGAGAATTATTGAATTATTGACCCAAGAGATCATTACATTCTTTAAAACGATCTCGACACTCTAAGTTCCTGGTGCACCCTTTGGCAGATTAATATTAACCCCGGAAAATGCAAACAAATGACCGTTACCACCAACTCGACCAAATTATCTCGCGAATATTCATTACTGTCACAACAATTAGAAAGGACCTCATTATACAATTACTTGAGTGTCCATATTTCTGAAACATAATCGTGGAATGAACATACCGACAACATAATCGGCAGCGCAACGAGATCATTAGCTTTTTGGAGGCGGAACCTCTATCTTGCACCTGCTGCGACAAAATTACTCGTTTATAAAAAATATTTCGACCCAAACTTTAATACGCAACCGGTGTGTAGAATCCACATCAAAGTTATCTCTTATCAAACCTAGAATCAATTTAAAACAAAGCCACCCAGATCATTTTGTAACCAACTTAGATATTACACCGTTTCAAGAAATGTGCGTGCTTTTGTTCAATGAGTCGGGAATGTTTCTTTTTGTTTATATATCTTGTTTTATTTTGTGGTTAAACGAGATGTGGCTGCGTTGGTGACCTTACGTTCTTTTTTATATTGTATTCCTATTTATTGCCCCTCCCCCTTTCCGGTAATGCGTCCTCAAAAGACGCCCTTGAGGTATATAAATGAAAGGAAATAAAATATAAAGACAACGAAGATCGCGACATTCTAGAAGCATGTAGAATATATTAATTTTAGTATATATTTATTTAGTTATTATAATCAACAAGCGGTCAACGAAGCACCAAGCAGATATAATAATATACATAATATTTCGGGACAACGAACGCCTTTTGTTATTTTCCCAATTTTTAAAACATCTTATAATATTTCGTGCTAATTGGCGGATTAAGTGCGGACCTCTTTACTCCTACTCTGAAGTTCCAGGTTTCATCTTACGGGCGCAGCAACTAAACGAATCGTAGAGCACATGTTCCCGACACACCAGAACTATCGACGAGCTGCATGAGCCACTTCCGACCGCACGGCTGTGACGAACCGAACATCTCGTGGATACGGGTGGCAGAAGACGAAATTATTTCTAAGCTAAATTATTTAGGCCCGAGTGGAGCGGCAGAGTATAAAGTAAACGAGGTGGTGACGTTATGAAGTTTTCGAATGGATTAATATTTCTGAAAGGTTTGACGACTCCGCTCACATCTGCGGAATGTTACTTTTACCGATCTTTTTAATGACCATGCATTCCGTTCAAGTTTAAATTAAAGACAACATTTTGTTAACTCGTTCTCCGTCGCAGGATAGTGTCGAACTTCCCAGATGCAGTACGAGACGGAAACCATCACTGCGCTAAATACCGGCACACCACCGTTCAATTAACAGCACGTCAATTCGTTTTCAGTTCAAGATCCATGAAAAACCCTGTTCCGCAACGCTAACAGATGTTTTGACTTTCAAGCTAAGCTTCTTTATTCGCTGGGCTAAGCATTCTAGAAAGGGCTGCGGTTCGACAGTATCCTGATCTCAACAACATGTTTCTTGTTTTTGTATGGCGCGCTACCGATCTATGGATGAAATTGTTTTCAGGCGAGATGCACGAACAAACTCTTCCAGAACGCTAATTATTTTCGGTTTTGTAATCAAACTGTTTTTACCCGAATAAACACTATTCAACTAAAAAGGGGCAGCGGTCCTACTGTGTCTTTCATTTTGGCAACTATTCTGGCAGAGTAGACATCCTGTTTGCGGACGTCACGTCACGGAGCGCGAAGAAGTCGTTCGCGCAGCGAGAAAAACTCGGTGCACGAACAGCGCGCTCGAGTATGTCTCTCCGGCGGCGCTCCTGTCCGTTTAGTGAACGGAACACCAAACTTCCCCGCTCCGGAGA